AAAAAGAAGTTCTTCGCAGAATAAATTCAGTTGCTTTGGTTCACATTGCAGCACACGGAACTAAAGAAACTGGTGAAATTGCTTTGGCTCCAGACCCTTGCTGGGAATCCAAGATTCCTGAGGAGGAGTATTTTTTGAGAATGTCTGATATACAAGCTGTTAAACTGAGAGCCAGGCTGGTTGTCCTTAGTTGCCCTCATAGTGGCCAAGGAGAGGTCTCGTCTGAGGGTGTGGTCGGTATTGCTCGGGCTTTCTTGTTTGCTGGTGCTCGTTCCGTGGTGGCGACACTCTGGGCAATTGATGACGAAGCAACCCTGGAGTTTATGAAAAGTTTTTACCAACACCTGAGGGGTGGAGAAAGTGCTAGTTCTGCTCTTCAGAGGGCCATGAAATGTCTCCGGGACTCGGACAAGTATTCTGCCCCAAAGTACTGGGCTCCATTTGTACTGATTGGTGATGACGTTACGATTGAATTTGATGAAAGTAACCGCTAAAGTCGTAAGTAGAAGAAGTTTTTCTTTTGTAAATTTTTGATTTTCATTGTCTCGAATCCCAAAAACATAAGTTGCAAAAATAAGAATCAAAAAGCATCTTTAAAAAATATTTAAGATAATTGGCAGTTTCGTTTGTAACTAGGAAAGCAAGTGCAAATCTTGAAAAATAAGAATGCAATGGGTGGCTATTGTTCTATTGCTATGGCTTCACTCAATACGACTCTAATCGTTACAAACTGTTAACAAATTAATAAAACATTGAAGACACACTTCAATGTTCTTAAAGAATCTGATCATTCACTTTGCATAGCTGGCCTATGTTATTGTTATCCTAAGAGAAGATTATAATACATTCCGTTATTGGATCAAAGATGACCCAAGACATCAGCGAGAGAAAATAGCTCTAATATTTCACAAATGCCAGATACAAAGAAAAGTGAATAAAAGTGAAAAAAATTTTGTGGACAATAGGGAGCCTCAATGCAAATACCGTGAACTGCCACTTATAAGCCCTCCCCACCCCAGTTATATGACCATCTGCCTGTAAACATAAAAATACATCGATTATAAGCCCCCTCCAAATGTGTGGAACTGAATTTGATTTATTATGGCGTTTTGAACCTTGATTAAAGACAGCAAATGCAAAAAGTACTTTGATCAACACCGCTATAGCTTATCTCGAAGCGCTTTCTCTATTCCGGTTATAATCTCCCCTCGGATATAAGCCTCTCCGTTCTATATGCTCTCCTAAAACCCCTTGCGAAGATGGTTAATTCAACCTATTTAGCGACGATGTGCATAAAAGATGATAATCAAACAACTGTCTTCGTTTTTTGGTTGGTAGATTTGGAGGTCAGCTGTTTTAAAATAAAACAGATTGCTTATACATCTGCGGACAGCTGTATGAACGCTAAAGGTTTTGCTATGAGCTCCAGTCAAAGTTTGATTTTACTCTGTACAAGGCTCCTATTTTATTTTATCGAGAATGGGAAATAATAAACAATTATTGGATGAGGTTGAGCATGATATCATGAACTATCAAAACCGAGGTCTGTACATGTGTTATCTGCCGAAGCCGAAGGCTGAGCAGATAATACAGACACGAGGTTTTGATAACTCATGATATCATGCGAAAACCGAATTCAATAATTGTTTTATTATACATTTTTTAAACAATTGGCAAAAGAAGACATTCAGCCATTCTGTTTCTGAGGAGAACACTCCAAGGGGCTTGGTAACCAGGCAGACATTGAACTTGACATGATAAATACAGTATCTGCAGCAGATATTGCATTTATCATGTCAAGTTCACAAGCTATTGTGAATTGATTGAATGCTCTCGACCAATCAGATTTTTCATAGTGAGTCTGATGTATAATAAAATGATTTATCAGTTGGATGGCTCTTGAAAACATCATGAAAATCCTCTCGGTTAATCTATAAGTGTTCAAATTTTGCCTTGTTTTGCTGTCAAGTTTCAAATTCATTTCGTCCTTGACATCGTGCACTAATTGAAGGCGTTATTTTTCTGAAGTGTATTAATGCAGTATATGTTATTTTCTTCAGTTACAAGGGACGCTGATATGTGATGTCAGAAAACTTCTGAAAGAGTGTCTGTGTTTACACATACAAAAAAGACTTCCCGTTTAAGAGACTGTGGGATACCAAAAACACATTTTTTTGCCAGATGGAATTTTACTTGCGATAGACCATTTTCACAATAACGTCATTTTACTACTACTGCCAGCATCCTTCAGGGTTTTGCCCTGTTGGCAAATTAGGGCTTTTGTTGTTTAAACCTCGCTAGGATTACTAAGAATGACCATGAAAGGGAAAACAAAGAATAGGATTCTGGTCGAAGTAATAAAATCACGTCATCGTTTAAATGGCCTATTTTAATTAATATTTAATAACAGTAGAACATGAGACCGTAAAAGCCTTTTTCAACTTAAAAAAAAAGGTTTAGTGTAACCACAACAACTTAAGACTGATGGAACGAAGCAGCATTTAATAAATACGTAAACAGCAGTTTTTGACATGTGCTGCTTTTCGTTTCATGTAAGGGAATCCAAGACAGTCTTGGATTCTGGATTCCACGCTGTGGATTCCTGATGCCAGGCACTTGATTCCAGTTTTTTCTTGTGGAACCTTGGATTGGATTCCAATCCTTAGTAGGGTTCCGGATTCGTTGAGCTGTATTCCGCATTCCAAAGCCCAGGATTCCAGGTTCCACATTTCACGGATTCCAGAACCCGGATTCCCTCACATGGGCCGATGCTTTTGTTAACATTTTGTTATATATCGTCAATAATCGTTTGACCCCAAAGCAAGAGTCATGTTGATCATAATCATCAGTAGATGAATGAGAGAGTGTAGTCGTGAAAAGGACTAGTGATGACAGTGACTGAACATCAAAGTGAATAGTATATTGTCCAACTCTTGCCCTGATTTGTCAACAAAGTCGTGATGTCATTGGTCGTCAGTCAATAACACCAAAATACTATTGTTCTAGAAGACTCTAAAGTTCGAATGGTGAGTTTCGATCCGATCCGTCGTTTTTCACTTTGACATCTGTCACTTTATAGTTAGTCCAACTTTCGGGTTTTGTTCAGTCAGTTTGTTCAATTTTTGACTTTAGATTAATGTTTGTCTTTGTAACGTTTTATTGGAAAGCATAAGATAAGCTAAGATAGTCAGTCCAAACTAAGGATGGAGGGTATCCGAAAACAATTTTTTTTTTCTTTTTAAAACTCTAACCAACAGCGTTAAATATACACTGAACACGCGGCATAACTTTTTAAGGCCATGTCCACACTAATGTGTTATCAAAACTGATCAAAACGCCTCCTTTTTTGGCGATCACGAAAACGGCAACGAAACTATGGATGTCCATAGTTGCGTTTAAGTTTCGTTTTATACAGACAATACTAAACTAGGAAAAACACATATCTGGAGACAAATGTTTTCGTACCTAGGGTATTCTAAAGGGCCTGTTGAGCTGTGAAGTCAGCGCATTCGTAAACCTCTGTTTTCGCTCTTTATACTTACATAGCCGTTGACCTCCATTTTGAAAAGTCTCCACCTTTGAAGCCGTTTTATGAAAACATCGGCTTTTTTATCGTTTTAGTGTAGACGAAAAGCCAAAACGCATTAAAGGTGGGCGTTTTCAAACAATTATGCACTAATGGGAAGCCGCCATAGATTATTTAGTGAGTCAGTAAATCGAGCGCACATTATTCGTGTACTACGACGTGAGTGCAGTATGATTTTTAATTGTTGATAACCCATGTATCAGAGCTGTGGTTCAGAATAGTTGCGATACCTTTATCATGCCGTTAATTTAATGCCAATTGTAATTGTTGTTTTACTGAGTTATCAAACAGGCTGTTGTTATCAAACAGATCAGTTTCAGATCGCTTGTCCACAACGTGCTGTGGTTTGGTACCAGGAAACAACAGCAATCGTTCAACTATGACTGCTTTAAAATCGGACGGGTGTTTTGTTTCCTGTACTATCGAGTTTTTCCAGGCTATAGATTTAAAGCATAGCCTCGGGCATTCATATCACGTCACATTAGGACGTAACTGCTTTTAACTGCTTAGGTTTAATCCCAGCGCGTTGCGTAGCACAGTGATCAGATTTTGGATGTTATAGTTTACCCATAGCTTAGTAATGTTGTATTAATTTTAACCTGAATAAAAGGAGACGTTAAGTGCAATTGCTGATCTCAATGATTTCAAAAAATATTTCAAAAGGACACTTGACTTATCCTTTACACTTCCTTGACAGATTCCCTGAAGGCATCGTCGATTAGGGATGGTTTTTCCCCTTTTAGTTTGTCATCAATTCTCACCCTGGGTACCAGCTTAGTAGCAAGTAGCTTACTTAACTTTTTCTCTTTTTTCAGAAATAATTGTGGTAATTTTGAGTGCTATAAGGAAAATGCATTCGCCAGTAATAGCTATCGCTAAGTGCCAACCAGCAAATATTTTTCCTATACGCGAGCGCTGTTCAATTTGTTTAGAAATGCCATAAATTCCGTAATTTACGAAAAATAGTTTGAACTCAATTCGATGGCATCAGCGAAAATTACGTTGAAAATAGTGAACTAAACCGTTCTACTGCATAAAGAATTGAAATCCCGACTTTACATAGCATAGTTTTTGAGATATTGAAGTTCGTGTTTTTGTCCGAAGTTGCGCACAGATCATTTGAGTAAAGTTTAGTGGACTTTTAAGCGAACTCAGAATCCTCGATAAAGTCATAATGCAAATACGAACTGATTACGTACACTAAGCAACCCTGTCAGCTCAAGACAAACCGGTAATGTCAAATTCTATCGACCACGGGCTCTGATATCTTGAATTCCTAAAATGTACTTTTATCAGTCCAGCTAAAAATCTATTCAGAACTAGGACTTTAATATGCAACCTAAGTGGATCCTTTTTTTAAAAAAAAAGAAAATAAAATAAAAAAAGAAAAAACTTTTGTGATCACTTGTTTTCTCCACTACGACATTTTTGCTCAACCTCGTAGTAGAATGACGACGGCTACCACGTTTCCCGCCAAAATGACGCTCGTTCACGCGCGCGAACTTTAAGGATGTTAGCATCAACAACGAGTACGGGTACGAGAACGACTTCAAGCCGTACTCGTACTCAAAGTCGTTTTCTCAGCTTTCTATGTTAGCGATGACACCGAGTTCGAGTTTATAGTTTATATACTTTCCCGGGTAAATGCAAATTTACTCTGTGTAGGAAATATCGCGTTCGGTTGCTTTTCTTCGACTTCAAAAGCAGCATTTTACATAAAACATAATGTAAGGAATGTTCAAGATGATAAAGAGAGGCTAGAAACTAAAAGAAACTGCATTAAACGATCGGAATTTACCTTTGAAAACCAACTCTTCCCAGTCGTTCTACCCACTTCGAGTTTTTGGTGAGAACTCATCGTAGTGCAACTTGACAGGACGACTTGAAAACGTGGAGATGCGCAGAACG